CTAACGACTACGGCATGCACGACTATGAGTACACCCCCCTCCCCCCGTCGGTGTTTGCCATCGCCATCGGGATTGGGTTTTCGTCGCTTGCCAACGACGTTGTAAAACAAGCCAATTCACTTCGTGAACTCGGCAACCAGGTTACCGTTTGTTGTTTTTACCTCGTTTTTTTTTTGGCGGTAACCATAATGGTGGTCGAGTAGATCATGTTGTGCGGGGTGGAGAACCCTCACTCCGCGCAAGGGGGATGATCGCACCACGTTGTGTTAAAATGGTCAAGCACCCTCGAGGCAGTTACACAGTGCTTACAACTGTCTCTGGAAGTGAAAGCACCAGAAAATAAATTAATTCATACGCAGCTGTCATCCGTACGCAAGGAAGTAAGCACAAGATGCCGAACACCCTTAGCAGGATGCAGCGCACCCTTCATGCGACTCGCCGAATATCTCACGGCGCTTCGCGCTTGGTGATGTGAGAGCCTGGTCCGGTGAGAACCCGGCGTGCTCCGTCCCGGCTTTGTAGGGATGCGAGGTCAATGGTCTAACGACAACGGCATGCACGACAATGAGTACATCTCACCCCCCGCCCCACACTATCTGAATGCACACACAAGAGAGTGCCAAAAAACAGGAAAAATGACCCCCCCCTAAGGACAAATATTATGCAAGCACGCACGACCGCGCGCGCACAAGGTAGGCACGCACCTGCAGCTTGAGGTTGTACCACAGCTCGGGCGGGTCTACGGCGGCCATGGACGTGTTCTCCACCACCGGGTCGGGGTGCGGGATCCCGATGTCGAGCTTCTTGGGACGGTACACCGTGTAAGACACGTCGTCCACCGCGTCGTCGAAGCCCTCTTCCTCGTCCTACGGCGGTAGTCAACGTAGATGCCGGCGTCGTCGTCGTCGTTGTAATTGTTGCTAAAATGTCTTTCTTGCTGTTGTATGTCTATGTTGTTGCTATAAGGAAATTGAATACACGCACAGAAAGAATACCCATTCGAGATATAACCAAAGTCGAAGGGGATGTGTTGGAGTCTTTGCAGTGCCTAGAATGTTGCTATGTTTTTTTCGTCGCCATTGTTGCTGTTGCTACCGTCGTGGTGAATGTTGACTCTGCTTGTACTCCAAATTTTTCCGATATTCACAACGGTGAACCTTTCTGCCAAGGACAAAGGACGACCATAAGTCGTCGAAGGCTCTCGAGCGTAGTAAACTCGTTGGGCCGACAGACGCCAAATCAAATCTATCTTTTCCTCCTCGGAACCCGCAACGCTCCCATTCGACAGTGGGGAAATATGTGCGCCCCACCTCAGAATATCCAGGCAACAACAACAGCAACGACAGAAAGAGCATACCGAATACTAGAATGACACCTCCAAGGCGAACACACCACTCCAATCACACGTGTATGTGTAATACCAACAACAAGACGCTTGTTTATCGTATCGTAGGGCATTTAAGGTCTGCGCGCTGCACCTGCCGCTTGAGCTCCGCTTCTGCAGCCGCGGCGATCTCGGCTTCGGCCCTCAGCTTCGAAGCCGCCGCCGCCGCTGCCGCCAACGCCGGGTCCTGAGAGCGCTGCTGCTGATGGTGATAATGCTGGTGCTGTTGCTGCTGAAGATGCTGCGGGTACCCGTATCTCCCATAAGAGTTTCGCTGGAAGGGGAGGAGGGCGTTGAGGCTTCGTGTGAAAGAAAAAGAGACAGTAGTTCGAGCGCCGCGACTTCCGGGCATCGTAGCACTTTTTCTTGCGCTGAATATATCGCGTACGGTACGGTAGATAAGTAGGTCTGTTTGGTGTCTCCTTCTGTCTCTGTCTGGCTCTCTGCCTCTGCGTGTGTAACGTGTGCGTCGCGGTTGTACCCCGAGCAAAATGTGTCCCATGAGGGACTCACTTGCGCCACTTGCGCCAGCTGATGTTGCCTGTGCAGCTGCTGCTGGTGCGCCAGCTGCTGCCGCTGTCGCTGGAGGATGATCTGCTGGTGCTGCCTCATCCTGACGCTCATGTCGTATTCAGACTTTTTTTTTACCGGGGAGACGCCGGAGAAACGGACGGGAACAAACGGTCACATGAGCCGCGATTTCGACAATCCACAGGGGCAAAAACACAATAGTAGCAGCAGCAAGCAGCAGCGTTCCGACTCAATCGAAAAATGCACTCCTCTGCCATGAACGCCACAAGCGAGAGATCGATGAGACATTAACGCGGAGACGCAACCACCACCGCAAACAAGACCAACTTCCGCCGTACTCCTCAACAAAACCACTTCACAACCAACGCCATCAAGAAAGAAGAGGAGCAATATCAGTATTAAAAGCCGACATGCTTGACGGGACCTGGACGAAACCCAATCGAGCACTGCAGTACGAAATCCAGCGAGTGGGTAGTGGGTAGTCCCCGCAGNACCCCCCCCCCCCCATGGATTCGTCAGGACTAAACTCGTCGAACCCCATGACGGAAGCACTCGCACAAAACTCCTGGAAAGCTCGCCTCAACCAGGGGCCCAACCCAAAGGCATTGCCGGCGCACGGAGACCGGAGGCGCCTCTGCCACCGCTACGACGCCACCACAAGACAAACCATCGGATACGTGACCACAGCAGCGACACCGTAAACTCGACAACACTCGGTCCATCCTCGCATCTAGCCCCGCTCCGGCCCACCTGGTGCGCATGATGCTGGTGATGGTGGTGCCACGACGACCCTGGTCCAGCGCCGGCCCCAGCTCCCACGTCGACCCCCCCTCTGGTCGCCCCCCTCGTTGCTTCTATCTGCCTGGAACGGGCGGCGGCGGCGGCGGCGGAGGCGGCCGCGAGGGTCGCCTCGTGGTGCGCGTTCTGCCGCTCCTGTTGGTGAAGGAGCTGCTGGGCGGCGACCTGCTGCCTGTAAAAGAGCGGGTTCTGGACCGCTAGCCTCTGCTGCGCCTCTTGGCGCATGGCCAGTTGCTGCTGTTGGTGCTGGTGCTGCCGCTGCCGCTGCTAGGCCCGAGGGCGATGNCTCACCGGACCAGGCTCTCACATCACCAAGCGCGAAGCGCCGTGAGATATTAGGCGAGTCGCATGAAGGGTGCGCTGCAAGCTGCTAAGGGTGTTCGGCATCTTGTGCTTGCTTCCTTGCGTACGGATGACAACTGCGATGACTTAATACATTTTCTGGTGCGTTCACATCCAGAGACAATTGTAAGCACTGTGTACCTGCCTCGAGGGTGCTTGGCGCTTACTTCCTTGACAGCTGCGAATCACTTACTTTATTTTTTGGTGCTTTCACTTCCAGAGATAGCTGTGAGCACTGCTGTGTAACTGCCTCGAGGGTGCTTGACCAATTCAACACCACGTGGTGCGATCATCCCCTTTGTGCGGAGTGAGGGTTCTCGAACCCGCACAACATGATCTACTCGACCACCATGGTTACAGCAAAAAAAAAATAAGGGCCAAAAATAAGCGCTAACCTGGCTGTCGAGCTGACGAAGCGATGGGAGTGTTTTACAACGTCGTTCCCAAGCTTCGAAAACGAGGGGGAGGGGGGTTGTTGGGTGGGGGGGGGGTTGCATTGAATGTCGCGCTTGGCTTTGCATGACACAGGTGCGATCGGAGCTTTTGACGGTGAACAGAGAAGCGATGGACGGTTGCGGTGCGTACGGCAAAACTGCCAAGAGGGGAAGTGCGATACACACGGTAAACAAAACGACGTAGCCCATCGTCGNGGGGGTTGGTGGGGGGGGGGGGGGTTGCATTGAATGTCGCGCTTGGCTTTGCATGACACAGGTGCGATCGGAGCTTTTGACGGTGAACAGAGAAGCGATGGACGGTTGCGGTGCGTACGGCAAAACTGCCAAGAGGGGAAGTGCGATACACACGGTAAACAAAACGACGTAGCCCATCGTAGAGAGAGAGAGAGAGAGAGAGAGAGAGAGAGAGAGAGAGGGAGAATGAGGGGAAATGAAAGATACCTCCTCGGCCGCACACATCACGTCGGTCGGTCCAAACAGCCACACGCACACATTTACAAGTGTGTGGTGTTTT